TGCCTAGGTGACTGCAATTCAATCTGCATACTGCCCAGTTTCTATTAGCAAGCTCTGAATGACCTATTTCTCACACATCAATGTTAATAGGAGTATTGTCACTTAAGATCACTTTCTCTTTGCAGTGCCTAGGTGGCTCAGTCGGTTAAGCATCCAACCATTGATTTCATTTCAGGGCAACATCACATGGTTCATGAGTTCAAGGCCCACGTCAGGCCATGCGTTGACAGTGTGGAACCTGCTTGGGATTCTTGGTCTCTCTCTCCTTCTCTGTCCCTCCTCCGCTTGCATGCATGCTTGCACACTCACTCTCTCTCTCTCAAAATAAAAAAATTTTTTTTTAAAAAAGATCACTTTCTCTTTGTTATATTTAAACAATTCTTTCATAATTATCTTCACAACAAATGTGCCAACTGATCTGAAAATTACCTGTTGTTTAAACAGGAGTAACCAAAAAGGATCAATGGATATTCTAAGTTGGACAATGTTTACTGTTGTGCCATAGACAGTGAGAAAATATCCAAGTTTCTTATTTCACTTAAAAAAATATACTTATTTGTTTCTGAGAGAGAGAGAGAATGAACAGGGGAGGGGCAGAAAGAGAGGGGGACAGAATATATGCAAGGGGCTCTGTGCTGACAGCAGCAAGCCTGATGCAGTGCTCAAACTCACAATCTGGGCCGAAGTCAGAAGCTTAACTGACTGAGCTACCCAGGCACCCCAACCAAGTTTCTTATTTCAAATGCCTCTAGTAACTACTTACAAGGAAACTTTTCTATTCCATGTAATAAGCTCCTAAGCTGTATGTCATTCTCTTTTCTCATCTACCTCATGAAAGTACCCTTATCTTTCAACTTAGCACTCATAACTACCTGGAAATCTTTCTTTTTCTCTCGTTAACACCATACTCCATTTTCAAAAAGGTTACATTATATTACAGCTTTTCTCTCTGTAAGCCTCAATCTTTTTCTTCTTATGGGTAAGTTTAATGGTACTACATTCTCCCAAGTTCTCAATCTTTTGTTTTGTTTTTAGTTTTACTTTTTTTTTTTTTTTAATGTTTTATTTATTTCTAGGAGAGATGGAGAGAGACAGCGTGAGCAGGGGAGGGTCAGAGAGAGAGGGAGTCACAGACTCTGAAACAGGCTCCAGGCTCTGAGCTGGCAGTCAGCACAGAGCCCGACGCGGGGCTCCAACCCATGAACTGCGAGATCATGACCTAAGCGAAAGTTGGATGCTTAACCGACTAAGCCACCCAGGCGCCCCCTTTTTTTTTTTTTTTTTTAAATGTTTTATTTATTTCTAGGAGAGAGAGAGAGAGAGACAGCGTGAGCAGGGGAGGGTCAGAGAGAGAGGGAGATACAGTTTTTAGTTTTAATTTTAGGTAATATACACAGAAATATATCTTGGAAAAAAATTTTGTAACATTATTTCAAGAGAGCAAGAGAGAGTGTGCAGGCATGCTAGCAGGAGAGGGGCAGAGAGACGGAGAGAGAATCCCAAATAGGCTCTGCATTGTCAGTGTGGAGCCAGATGTAGAGCTCGAACTCACGAATTGTGAGATCATGACCTAAGCTGAAATCAAGAGTCGGACGCTTAACTGACTAAGCCACCCAGGGACCCCTACGTTCTCTATCTAAAAAAAATCTCAAAATCCCCATCCTCATGACCAACTTTAACCAAACTTAACTTTACCTCAAGCTGCTCAAAAGTACCTGCCCTATGCCACTATTCTATCATTTGAAATGTATGATGCCTAAACTCCTGCACTGTCTAAAACTCAGTTAAGTCAAAAATAAATATCAGTGGAGAATATCTCTGAGAACAATGGATATGAAGGCAAAGATACCCGTAGTATGCTATTACTCTAACAGATCAAGATAGAAATAATGAGGGTCTGAATATTGACAACAATCATAGGGATAAAGAGAGGAAAGAGAGTTGAGAGATATTTCAAAGAACTGAAGGACTGCTGACCAAAGTGGGGTTCAAGAAAAGATAGTTTAAGATGACTCCAAGACATTTGACTTGAACGACTGTATTAATTTGGCAGACTGTCACTCAATAAGCCAGGGATTATTAGAGGGGATGAAAATGGGTCTGGTCTTAAAACGTTTAGCCAGAGAAACCTAGATGACACAATGGGGAAGATTCATTAACTAGCTAGACATGGATGTGAAGCTGAAGAGGAGACCCAATTATAGATAGTAAGTGATCAATGCAAGTATGGCATAAATTGACCTAATTGTGAAAGAAACTGACCTAAAATGGCACTGACTGGAATAGGATCTAAGATAGAGAAAGAGAAATAAAAAACAACTATATTACACAAACATAAATCCATTACTTACCTGATCAATTCGGATCTCCTTCCAAGCCTCTGAACTTTTTATCAATGAACCTATCTTTGCCTAAATTTCCCCCCTTCCTTTCACTCCCATATTCAGTTACTGCTTAGTGCAGTGGATTAAACTATGGATTCTAAAGCCATATTTTCTAGGATCAAAACCCTGTTCAACCACTTACTAGTTATGTGATCCTGGGCAAGTTAATTAACCACTTCTGTGCTTCAGTTTTCCCATCTGTCAAATAATAATATTACTTCATAGGGTTGTTACGGGAAATTAAAAATTAGGTTAATGTTTTAAAGAGCTTAGAACAGGGGCACCTGGGTAGCTCAGTTGGTTAAGTGTCCGACTTCAGCTCAGGTCATGATCTCACAGTTTGTGGGTTTGAACCCCGCGTCAGGCTCTGTGCTGACAGCTCAGAGCCTGGAGCCTACTTTGAATTCTGTGTCTCCCCTTCTCTCTGCCTCTCCTCTGCCCCTCCTCTGCTTCTCAATAATAAATAAATGTATAAAAAATTTTTTTAAAATAAAGAGCTTAGAACAGTCTGGAATGTGCTTGATAAGCATTTGTTAGGTGAAAAAACAAAGTCTGTCAATTTTCTTTGTGAAACCTTCATATGTGACTTTTTCTCATTCTCACCTAACACCAAGCCACTTGAGGTCTCCATTATTTCTTATATCACCACTTCATCACTCTACTAAAATTGTTTATCACCACTTCATCACTCTACTAAAATTGTTTTTTAAAAGGTCTCTAATGATCTCTCTCTCTCTTTTGTTAAGTAATCTCTATGCCCAACATGGGGCTTGAACTCATGCCCCAAGATCAAGAGCCAAATGCTCTATGGACTGAGCAGGCCAGGCGCCCCACTAACGATCTCTTATTAAAGAAATGCAATCTTTTTTTCCCCCCCTCATTCCCCAGACACTTTGCATGCATTGTCCCGGTGGGCCCTCCTCAAAATTTTCTTCTCTTGACTCTGGGTCTTCTTGGTTGCTGGAACCCTACACTTTTATACACTATCCCATACCTCTGTTTTTGCTATCCCACCAATTCCTCTTTCTGCTTCATAAATGCAACCATTCCCCAAAAATATTCCCACCTTTCTCAGTACTTACTTCCTGGTGCCAAATATTACCACAGCTTCTACTTCAATGTCAATGACTCAAACTTTTATCTCTAGCTACAACTCTGGGGCTGAGCTGCAGATTTTCCTTTCCAACTCTTTACTGGACAGTTTTATGTGGCTATTCTATCATACTTTTAATTCAATATATCCAAAAAATAAATTTGTACTCTACACTGATAATGGTTTTGTTGCTGATAATGAACAACATTCATTGTTGATAAAGAATCAACATTCTCCAAATACCAAAGGCTAAAACCTAAGAATCAGCTTTGCTACCTCTTTATCCGACATCCAATTTATTACAGTCTTCACACCATTCATTTCAGCATACTTCCCTTCTTTCCAGTAATACTGTCATAACTCCATTTCAAGACTTCATCAGCTTTCACTAGGCTGATCCCATTACTCCTTCAAAAGAATTTCCAATAAGAGTACTCAGACATTAGCTGAAGAATCCATAACAGCTTATACATTCCTTTCCTATAGGGTGACTTCTATAACAACATGACTTTCTACAGAGCAAATCTGACTGTATTAAGTCTCCTGCTTAAAACTCCTTAAAAACTACCCATTTCTTTTAGGGTTAAACCTTTCACTATCTGGACCTCAACCTACTTGCCCAACTTCATATCTCATCCTATGCACAAGAGTCCCCTCTTTCCTCCTCTTCACACACAAGTTACGCTCAGTCATTCCTTCACAGCCTTGGGAACTGTTCCTTCTGACTGAAAAGCTCTTCTCCACTTTATCCGCTCCATTCAGACGTTAGTTTCTTTCTTCAGCCTTCCTAGCAACTGTCCCTTGAGCAGTTCACACATGTATGACTGATACATATATCGCAGGAGCAATTCGTTTATATCTGCCTCCCAAACTTGGCCCTGGAAAACTGGAAGGGTATCTTACGAAGCCCCAATGCTTGGCATAGAGCCAGTAATAGAGAAGGTGCTGAGGCCAGTGGCCGATTTGGGGGAAACCCTGGCAAAAGGGTAACCTAGGTCAGCACGCATAGTGAGTCTAGCGGGCTGGCACTGAGGCCTTGCCAGGGCCTCAGCTCTGGCACTTCTTACAAGATGCCAGAGTCAGACGTCCAAGCCAACTGCTGGGCCGTGGGCTGGGGTCCCAGGAAGAGGTCCCTGGGGCATAGTTAAGCTCCCCACTCCAGACGCGGGGAAGGGAAAGGGGCGGGGCACCGCATGGGCCGGGCCAAGGGTTCTTTAAGTTCGCCCGGGCCTAGGCCAGCTCCTCGCCCCCATCCCAGAGCAGGTCCCGGCCAATCTAGGCCCCCAAGGGGGCTATCTCTTGAGAGACCCCCGTACCCCTGCCCGGCGCTGTAGCCGCCTCCGCACTTACAGACCCGGGAGAAGGCCACCGTCAGGATCCGGCACCGCCAGGAGCTCCGGCCCCTCGGGGCTCCGGGAAGGGGGAGGGGCAGGGAACCCGAGCCAAAGGGGGACCCAACGGAACCGGAAGGGCAGCCCTCGCCGGACAAAACAACTTCCAGGTCCCATGGTCCTCTCCACCAATCGGAAGGCTCGGAGGGCCACTGGGCAGAGAGAAGGGCTTAGCGCGCGGAGGACCGGGTGCGGAGGACCGGGGGAGTTCGGCTACGAGGGTCTCGTCTACGACACGGTGGTGTGGCCGCTTTTTCGCGTCCGGGTCTCAGTCCCTGGGTGTGTCGCCCTTTGCAGCGGCTCCTGTGGAGCTGGGCCTCCTCCGCCTTCTGTTCGCGGGGGCTTGAAGGGCGCCTCCGCATTTAAGCCTTGGTAAGCCCCTCCTGTCTAGGGATGGGGACCCGCCGCGCGGGGACCCTGAAAGTAGAAGGTGGTGTACTCCACTTGCTTGTAGATGTTGGTGTTTCCCAGAGATCTCTTTCGTTCCCTTGCCTTCCGTTGCCTACATCGTGATCTAGACTGATCGCTCGAGCTCCAGGGCCAACTCGCCAGGAATACAACTCCAGTTGGTTTTCCCAATGTCAATGTGCCTTTTAATGATCTCAAGTTCGTATGCATACCTTCTTCTTATGTGCTGTAGTCCTTGCGTTGGTAAATGGCACCATCCACGCAGCCCTGCCGACCAGAAAACTTTAGTATCGTTCTAGAGTTCTATTCTTTTTCCTTTCCAATCCAATTGCTCACTAGGCTCTCCCCCTTTTTTTTTTTTGGCACGAGGAGGGTGGGGGGGATATTATTGTGGTAAAACATAATATTTATTTATTTTTAAATGTTCACTTATTTATTTTTGAGAGAGAGAGAGAATCCCAAGCGGGCCCGATATGGGGCTCTAACTTACAAATGGGGAGTTCCTGACCTGAGCCAAAATCAGGAGTCAGACTCTTAACCGACTGAGCCACCCAGTTGTCCCAAAACATAGTATTTATAATTTTAAGTATTTGTAAGTGTAAGGTTTGGTGGCATTAAGTTCATTCACAGTGTTGTGTAACAGTCACCACAGCCATACCCAATTTCATTCTTTTGTATGTGGATAATATTTTTCCAGCGCCAGTTCTTGAAAAGACTTGCCTTTACCGTGTCAATGGTTTTGGCACCTTTGACTATATATGTGAGTGTTTATTTCTAACTTTCTGTCACTTTTGAAGTGAGAAAGTGTGTGTTCCCAAACTATGCTTTTTCAAGATTGTTTTGACCCATTGAAACTCCATATAAATTTGAGGATGACCTTTTTGTATTTCTGAGAAAAACGATATTGTAATTTTGATATTGTATTGGATCTGTAGATCACTTCAGGTGGCATTGCCATTTTAACAAGTCTTCATACTTATGAATACAGAGTGTCTTTCTATGTACTTATTAATTTCACAGCAATGTTTTCAAGTTTAAAGGGTACTTAATTCTTCCGATAATATTGTAAATGGAATTGCTTTCTTAATTTCGTTTTCATATTGTTCATTGCTGGTAGGTAGAAATACCTGATTTTTAAAAATTTTATTTATTTATTTATTTAGAGAGAGGTGGAGAGAAATTCTCAAGTAGGCTCCATGCTATCAGCACAGAGCCTAATGTGGGGCTCAGTCTCACCAACTGTGAGATGGTGACCTGACCCGAGATCAGGAGTTGGACGCTTAACTGACTGAGCCACCCAAGCATCCTGAAACAACTGATTTTTGTGTGTTATTGTTATACCCAGCAACGTTGCTGAATTTGTTTGTTTTTGCTTTAGTAGCTTTCTTGTGGGTTCTAGATTTTCTCTCTCTATAATCATGTTGTCTTTCAATAGAGATAGTTTTATGTCTTCCTCTCCATTTGCCTTTCATTTCTCTTTCTTGAGAAAGAGAATAGTTCTTTTTAAAAAAAATTCTTTTTATACTTTATTTTTGAGACACAGAGAGACAGACCATGAGTGGGAAAGGGGCAGAGAGAGAGGGAGACACAGAATCCGAAACAGGCTCCAGGCTCTGAGCTGTCAGCACAGAACCCGATGCGGGGCTCAGACCCACAAACCTTGAGATCTGACCTGAGCTGAAGTTGGACGCTTAACCGACTGAGCCACCCAGGTGCCCTGAAAGAGAATAGTTCTAATAGTTCTGGGTAGAATTTGTAGGATGTTGAATAGCTGCAGTGAAAGGAGGCATCTTTTACTTGCTCCTGATCTTAGAGGGGTAAATTACTGAATATGAAGTTAGATGTGGGTTTTTCACAAGTACTTTTATCATGTTGAGAAATTTTCTCTCTATAACTACTTTTCTAAGAGATCTTACTATGAAAAGCATTGTATTCTGTTGAATGTCTTCCTTTATCCACTGAGATGATCATGTGGTTTTTTTTCTCTTTATTAATGTGATATATTACATTGATTTTATGTTGAACCACTTTGCATTCCTAGGATAAGTCCCACTTGGACAAGGTGCATAATCCTTTTAATATGTTGTTGGATTTGATTATCTTACATGTTATTAAGGATTTTAGCATCTATATTAATAGGAGATAGCAGACTATAACTTACTTATAATGCATTTATCTGGCTTTGGTATCAGGATAATGAAGGTCTCATAGAATGAGTTAGGAAATATTTCTGCTTTAATTTTTCTTTGGAAGAATTTGAGGAGGATTGGTGTTATTCATTGAATGTTTGGTACATTTCTCTGAAGTCATATGGTACAGGACTATTCTTTATTGAGAGGTTTTTGATTACTCACTCAATCACTTGTTATAATTGTGTTGAGTTTTCTATTTCTTCTTGAATCCGTTTAGATAATTTATGTGTTTCAGGGATTTTGCCTACATTCTAAGCTAAATTTGTTGACATACAATTGTTCATAGGATTCTTTTATAATCCTTTTTATTTCTGAAATTTCAGAAGTAATATTCTCACTTTCATTTATGATTTTAGTTATTTGTGTGTTCTCTTTGTCAGTCTAGATCAAGATTTGTTGCTTTTTTTTTTTTTTCAAAGAAACAACTTTTGGTTTCATTGATTTCTTTCTCTTTTTCTCTTCTCTATTTTATTTCCACTCTGATCATTTTATTTCCTTCCTTTTGTTAGCTTTGGGTTTAGTTTCTAGTTTTTCTTGGGGGTGCCTGGGTGGCTCAGTCGGTTGAGAGACCAACTCTTGGTATTGGCTCAGGTCCATGATCTTGTGGTCATAAGATGGACCCCAGTGCTGGGCTCGCACTGAAAGTGGAGCCTGCTTGGGATTCTCTTTTTCCCTCTCTGTGTGCCCTTCTCCTGCTTACATGCACTTTCTTGCTCTGTCAAAACATATAAATAAACATTAAAACAAGTTTCTAGTTTTTCTCATTTTATAAAGTATAAATTAAGGTATTTTGAGGGCTTTCTTCTTTTTTAATGTAGCTATTTTCAACTAAATTTCCTTCTGATCACTGCTTTCATTGCATCCTATCAGTTTTGGAATATTATGTCATCATTTTCATTCCTTTCTAACATACATTCTAACTTCCCTTTTGATTTCTTCTTTGACCCATTGGTTGTTTAGGAGCATGTTGTTTAATTTACAAATATTTGTGAATTTTCCAGTTTTCCTTCTGTTATTGTTTTTTTCTATAAATTTTTGTTAATGTTTTTTATTTATTTCTAAGAGAGAGAGAGACAGCGTGAGCAGGGGAGGGTCAGAGAGAGAGATACAGAGTCTGAAGCAGGCTCCAGGCTCTGAGCTAGCTGTCAGCACAGAGCCCGACGCGGGGCTCGAACCCACAAACTGTGAGATCATGACCTGAGCTGAAGTTGGACTCTTAACCGACTGAGCCACCCAGGCGCCCCTGTTATTGATTTTTAACTTCATCTCATTATGGTTGGAAAAGATACTTTGTGTGACACCTATCTTTTAAAATCTATGGAGACTTGTTTTGTGGCCTAATTATATGGCTTGTCCTGCAGAATGCTCCATGTAACTTTAAAAGAATGTGTATTCTGCTCTTGTTGGGTGGAGTGTTCTTTATGTATCTGTTAGGTTCAGTTGGCTTATTATGATGTTCAAGTGCTCTGTTTCCTAACTTCTATCTGGTTGTTCTATTCATTATTGAAAGTGGGGTATTTAAGTTTCCAACTATTATTGTAGAAGTGTTTATTCTTCCTTTTAATTGTGGTCATTTTTGCTTCATGTATTTAGAGGGTTTCTTGCTAGGTATGTTAATGTTTATAATTTTTAGATAATCCTGCTTTATTGAAACGTTTATTAATGAATAATGCTCCGGGGCACCTGGGTGTCTTAGTTGGTTGAGTGTTCAGCTTCGGCTCAGGTCATGATCTCATGGTTCACGAGCCTTAACATCGCTTGTTTGCTGCTGTCAGTGTAGAGCCCACATAGGATCCTGTCTCCTCTCCGTGCCTCTCACCTGCTTGAGCTCACACATGCACTTTTCTTTCTCTCTCTCAAAAATAAGTAAACATTATAATAAGTAAATAAATACAGTCCTTCTTTGTCTCTTGTAACCTTTTTTTGGATTTACATTCTGTTTTGTATGACATTAGTACAATCATCCCAGCTCTCTTTTAGTTACTGTTTGCATGGAATTTTTTTTAAAGTAAGCTCTAGGCCCAATGGAGGACTCAAACTCATGATCAAGAGTCGCATGTTCTACTGACTAAGCCAGTCAGGCACCCCTGGAATATCTTTTTAATAATTCTTTCACTTTTAACCTATTTATATCTTTCGATCTAAAGTGAGTTGTTTGGATATTTTTTTAAAATCCATTCTCATCTCTTTGATTGAAGAATTTACACCATTTACATTTATTTAAGCTTATGTGTTTATTTTCAAAGAGAGAAAGAGAGAGGAGGAGAGAGAGAGAGACAGAGATGGAATCCCAAGCAGTCTCTGAGCTTACAGCTCGGAGCCCAGCACAGGGCTCTATCTCATGAACCATGTGATTATGACCTGAGCCGAAATCAAGAGTTAGGTGCTTAAGAGTTAGGTGAGCCATCACTCAGGCACCCTGCATCATTTACATTGAAAGTAATTACTGCTAAGGATGGATTTATTTCTGCCATTTTGCTTTTTGATTTCTATAGGCCTTTGTGCCCTTCTTTTATTACTGCCTTTTTTTCTGTATTTATTTGATTTTTTTGTAGTTAAAATTTTTAATTCATCTCTTTTCTGTATATAGATATTTTCTTTGTGGTTGTCATGGGAATTACATTTAACAGTAGAGTTAGAACAATCTAATTGAATTGATACCAACTTTAATAGCACACAGAACCTCTCCAATATAGCTCTGCTCTCTCTATTATTGATATTACAGATTATATCTTTATGTACTGTATGCCCAATAACATAGAGTAATATTTTAATACATTTATCTTTTAAATCCTATAGAAAATGAAAGGTAGAGTTACAAATTTTAATTGCAACAATACTTACTTTTATAATCCCCCATACATTTATCTTTACTAGAGATCTTTATTTTTTCATATGGCTTCAAATTACTCCTGAGCATCCTTTCATTTCAGCCTGAAGGATTGCCGTTAATGCTTCTTGACCAGTAGGTTTACTGGTAAACTCTCTTAGCTTTTTTAAGATCAGAGATTATCTTAATTTCTTTTTCATTTTTTAAAAAAATTTTTGAGAGAGACATAGCATGAGCAGGGGAGGGGCAGAGAGAGAGAGAGAGCGAGCCAGCGAGCATCCCAAGCAGGCTCTATACCACCAACACAGAGCCAGATGTGGGGCTTGAACTCACAAAACCGTGAGCTCATGACATGAGCTGAAACCAAGAGTCGGATGCTTAACTGATGGAGCCACCCACGCACCCTGGTTTTTTATTTTTGAAGGACAGTTTTGCCAGATACAGAATTCTCTGTCAACAGTTGTTTTCTTTCAGCAGGTTGAATGTCATTAACCCACTGCTTTCTGGCCTCCAAGATTGAAGATGAGAAACCAGCTGATAATCTTATTCAGGATCCCTTGTATGTGATGAACCACTTCTCTTGCTGCTTTCAAGAATCTCTCTTTTCTTTGGCTTTCTACAGTTTGATTACTATACTTTCTACCCTTTCTCTCTTCTCCTGGGACTCCCACGGTGGTATGTTGTTTCTCTTGATAGTGTCCCACAGATCCCTTAGACTGTATTCACTGTTCACATTTCTGGTTTTTTTTTTTTTTTTTCCTTTCTGTTCTTCAGATGGAGTAGGAAGTGCAAGAAATCCATTTCTCTACCTAGACAACAATTGTACTGGCAGAAACTGTCCGAAGTAACTGTTTTGGAACTCTGGAGTCTACTTGAATTCTTGCATCTTTCAAGGGAAAGTTTGGTTGGTAAATTGAGGTTAATTTCAGTCAATGTCAGCCTTTAGTGTAATAGCACCTCCCTGTTTCCTACCCCTCAACCCTGTGGCAGGCAGCCATGTTCACATTCCTGGTGTGGTTTGCTGGAGCTGTGGTGGGAAATAAGAATCTTGTTCGCCAAATACCGGAGTTCTGTGTTTTGATTGCTGATCACTCCTTTTGAGTTCTGAGATTCACGCAGAGAATAGCTGCCAATGTTTCAACCCTCATTGGCTGAAGCTGGCTTCTATGGGATATGAAGGAACAGCTCCTGTTTTGTTTTTTTGTTTGATTTTTTTCCCCTTCTACTCCACTTTGGAGCCAGACATTTAAGGATTGGGACATTCAAAAGCAATCACTGACATGGGGAAAATTAGAAAGCCACCATGTATAACCAGGAAAAGATGCAGGCTCAGAAAAGAACTGAGAAAACCTTAATCTTTCACCTTAGGGTGATCCTGATCCCGGGCACAGAGACATCCTTCAACAATAAAACACAAACAAACAAACAAAAAGAGCAATCCCTGGGAAAGGGGGAGAATCTGATTTCCACAGTTACCACATTATAAGATTCAAATGTCCATTTTTCAGCAAAAAAATAAAAAGACATACAAGTAGCCCATTCAGAGAAACAAAATAAATCAACAGAAACCATCCCTGAAAAACATTAGATCTATGTCTTACTAGACAAAGACTTTAATTTTTTTTTAATTTTATGTTTCTTACTTATTTTTTGAGAGAGACAGCACGAGCAGGGGAGGGTCAGAGAAAGAGGGAGACACAGAATCCGAAGACAGGCTCCAGGCTCTGAGCTATCAGCACAGAGCCCAACGTGGGGCTCGAACCCACAAACTGAGATCATGACCTGAACCAAAGTCAGACACTCAACTGACTAAGCCACCCAGGCACCCCTAGACAAAGACTTTAAACAGCCTTGAAGTCGCTCACTGAGTTAAAAGAAAATGTGAATGAAGTAAAAGAAAAAAAAAACTATGAAAAAAAATGGGACTAGCATTAAAGATAAAGAAATTATGAAAGGAACCAAAGTGAAATTCTGAAGCTAAAAAGTCCAATAGGAGAAATGACAAATTCATTAGAAGGGTTCAAAATCAGGTTTGAGTAAGCAGAAGAAAGAATCAGCAAATTGAAGATATTCCTTTTTAAAATATTGCTTCAACCCTCTTCCCATCCCCCATGCTAATCCCATCCTTCTTCTTCTTGGTGCAAGCCTTATTTTTTTTTTAATGTTCATTTTGAGAGTGAGCGCATGCGGGAGTGGGAGAGGAGGAGAGAGGGAGAGAGAGAATCCCAAGCATGCTCCTTGCTATTGGTGCAGAGCCTGAGGTAGGGCTCAATCTCACAAACCATGAGATCATGACCTGAGCTAAAACCAAGAGTCCAACAGTCAGATGCTTAACTGACTGAGCCACCCAGGTTCCCCTCAAGCCTTTCTGATCTTAGGCAGCCTCCATACTGTTCCCTTTATCCCGTTTTGCCTTTTCTATTTCAGAATGATCTTTCAGAAAGTCCAAATCTGATATTTGACACTGTCCTTTAAAACCTCTAAGGCTGCATATGTATATCTATACATATGTATACATATATGCATATGTATATAATCTATATGTGTATAGATTAAATTTCCTTTTTTCAGTTTTAGCATTCACAGACTTTCCCATTTTGGCTTCAACTAACCACATTAATCTATTTGAGCCTTGAAATATAACTTCCAATTTCCAGGAAATAACAGGTCTGGAGGAACAAACTCAATGTCCTCTTGTGGAAGCAACCATTCAGATCTAGAAGGTGGGAAATTTTGTACTGAAAGTGGCCTAATTTCTTCAGTAAGCCAGCATCTTAATATTTTTCTTAAGTGCTTGAGTAAAAAACTCTTGTGGGATAGAACAACCAGATGCAGTGTGTGGCCCTGGATTGAATAATGATTTGGGAAAACTAGCTTTAAAAAAATCTATTTCAGGGGCGCTTGGATGGCTCAGTCGGTTAAGTGTCCAACTTTGGCTCAGGTCATGATCTCGCGGTTTGTGGGTTTGAGCCCCTCATCGGGCTCTGTGCTGACAGCTCAGTGCCTGGAGCCCATTTCAGATTCTGTGTCTCCCTCTGTCTCTGACCCTCCCCTGCTCACGCTCTCTCTCTCTCTCTCTCTCTCTCTCTCTGAAATAAATAAAAACATTAAAAAAATTTTTTTTAAGTATATTTCAGTCTACAGGTATTTGATTATAGTTGATAATAGATGAGAGGAAAACTTGTGGAAATGATATTACTGATTTGGGAAAGCCAAGTGTTAAAAATATCTTTAGGTTGATAAAAAAAATTGGATGTGATCTGGGAATTAGGTAAGAGGAAAATTCACTGAAATGATAAGGTGGATATTGTTAATTGAATAAAGCAGATTACTAAACTGTGTGATCTCGTTTTGAAAAACAATATGTTGGCACACAAAGGACATGCATTACAGTATTAACATTGGTGATGGGAATGTGATGTTTTATTTTCTATTGTAGTTTGTTTCCATTTTCTATTAAAAGTGTATCAGGATTCAGGGGATTTCTGAACACTACATCTATTATTTGATACTACTACTTTAAAATGGGTGTGTGTTATTATATAACTGTATAAGGAGAAAAGGAACAAAGCTATTTTCCCGTGGGACTGCAGCGAAATCTATTGTAATAGACAAGTCACAAAGAGGAAGGACTACGACAGAGCACGTTTTTGCTTTTTCTCTGGTTGATTTGGGTGCATTTCCCACAGGAAAACATTACATGACTCATTCACCAGGAAAAGAGCATAGGCTATTTGAATAAAGAAAGGGGAAGAGTGAGGAATAGGCTGTAGAATTATTTTATAAATTATCATGACTTAAGTAACACCTTTAGTAGCCATTGTTTTTGTTACCAACTAAATTGTAAATTCATTCAGAACAGGGACTTTAAATCTCATTCTGTTTCTTTTGCTTCATATATCAGATTTGAATGATTTTTATTTTTTAAGATTTTTTTTTTTTTACGTATCTTCAACACCCAACGTGGGGTATGAACTCATAACTCTGAGATCAATAGTCACATAGTCTATGGACTGAGCCAGCTAGGCTCCCCATTTTTGAATGATTTTAATATAAAATCCTAGCCCCATCTTCGAGTCTAATACTCTAAAACAAGCTTGTTTATTGCAGACCTCTTCCGTGTGTCTGAAGTACCTCAAGGCAGCAGTGTTGTAGCCAGTGGCCCTTGGACTTGAGTGAAAAGTTTTTTGAGTTTTAGACGGAATTATTTCTCGGGGTGGACTCCTTTATAAAATGGGAAAAGTTATTACATGCTCATAGGTTTGCGGTAAAACCAAATGAGATACCATAAAAAGACCTGTCAATACCTAGCACATTGCGCGCCCTCTAAATAAAGGCCAGGTGCGTCAAGTAACCCTTAAAAGCTGCTTTTGAAATAGCACTTGAACGTGAAAGGTGAGCAGGGGAATTCCTTGCTCTTTGCAGATGTACCTCCTTTTGCCTAAAAGGCAAAAACATTGCAATAGGTGCTACCTAGCCTGATTCCCTTGCCATTCTGCTTCCAGTCCTAGAGAGAGTCACATAGCCAGTCTTAGCCTAGACATGGCACAGGGTTAAATTCAGCTTCAACAGTACGGACAGCGCAGGCGCAGACTCTCATAGCGGGGTAAAAGCCCAGGTGGGGCTTCGAGGAAAGGAAGTACGTCTTCGCCGCCTGTTGTTGGGCCAATGGGGCTACTCGGTTTAACCGCGGGCCTATGAAACGGGGTAGGGGGCGGGGCAGAGGGCGGAAGAAGCTCTCCTCACGTGACTAGGGGGCGGGGAGGGCGGGGGCAGGGCGGCTGGGGAGGCCCAGGCGGCGGAGCCTCCGGGACGGCGAGCGGCGGGCGGCGGAGGAGGAGACGGCGGGTCGGGTAGGGCCGCGTTTCCCCTCCTCGTCTTCGCACCTTCCTATCCACCAAGCCCCGGGGATTCTCTGACAGCCCCTGCAGGGAGCCAAGCTGTGTTCTCACCCCGCGGGGCTGGGCTGGGCTGGTCAGATTGCGCTCACCTCCCTCGAAGAGTCGTGTTCTGAGGGGAGCCGTGATTGGGGGGAGGGGGAGCTGTAGCGGAGGGGAGAGGGCGCATGCGCAGGCGGGAAAGCTCCCGCAGCCCCTGCCCAAACCGGTTCCCCCTGTCTGGGTGGGTGTCTACCCAGTCCTGCGCTTGTGGCTGTCCATCTGACCCCCGGGCAAACCTGGATTGTCTCTTGACTTTAATGTTTTGGGCCAGGTCCTATTTGGGAATCCGGTTGTTTCCTACGCCTCAGTTTCTCCCCATTACCAGCTGGGCCTGTATTTGTGACTTGGGCTGGCTTGGGCCTCAGGCTAGCTTCCTGGGCTGCGCCGAATCTGAAAGACTTGCTTTCTTTTAGCGTTGGCCTGCCAGCTAGTACTGATCTCATTTTACCCACCTGCAGTTAAAGTGTCTCACTCTCTCCATGTACTTTAAGTATCTGCTCTCAGTAGCTCATAGCTGTGCCTGATTGTCAGCAACCTTCAGGGTTTTAGGGGGTGAGCCAGAGGATAGCCCTAGACTTCCAAGAGTTCGCTGTCCATTGCCTTGTAGTACTTTGGTCCCTACTCTTTTGGTATTGACTGTTACCATCTGCACCTGTTTTTACAGACATCTCCGTACTTAGGGTTACTCAGGGCTTCCTTTATCATAGAAGCAAGAGTCTTAGGAGATTGTATTAAGCAAGTGTCATTCTACTAGTGCTCCATTAGTTTGAAGTCCTGTTCCAACTCGAATTTGAGATCTTGTGGCTTTTGTCATTTTCATTAGTGAGGAAGAAAAAAACTGTCAGGGACAGGATTTCACCATTCATTTGATCTTTTCATTCAAATAAACACCTATGTTAACATACATGTGACTGGAATAGTGTAGTAGGAGTTTGTGTTTCCAGCTGCTTTGTTTATTTAAAAAGAAGGAAACAATAGAGGATGAATTGCGCTGTGTTTGACACAAACTGATGTTTGAAAAGTTGAAAAACTTAGATGCCAAGGAATTACACATTGAACTTTTTTTAAACGAAGGACCTGTTGGCCTTAATTTCAAGTGTGCATAGCGTGCTATTTTAAT